TCAGTGGTTAAGCGCCCCTGGGTTCAATCCCCAGTAAACAAACAAACTCCAAGGAAGAGCACTTTGAAGGATCCTTTATCAGGAGAGATGAGAAGAGGAAATGGGCCAGATCTGATGATCTTTCCTCCCCTAGCATCCTCACTTGGCTGGTCCCTCTCCCTTCTGTGGCCAGCCCGGGACCTCTGCCTCCCCCACCGACAGCCTGGAATGGAGGCACTGCACAGGCCTCTGACACACATCTGGTCTCAAGTCTGCCTTGGAAAGGCAAGTTCTGGAAAAGGAGGTGGAACAGCATGTTGGGGCCGTCCGAGGCCATTCTGGGGCCAGCCAAAAGGCAGGCTGCAATTTGGAGCCCTGGCTTAATCAAATCCTCACTAACCCATTCCACTAATTCAGAATCTGTCAGTTTTGACATTGGCTACGCTCAAGTTGCTATTATAGTCCATGAAATAAAGAGTTTCTTAAGCCAATGAGTAGAGGAAATTCTACTGACTTCTGGTGGTCCCTCTGGGCATGGTGTCTAGGCCACCCCCGATGTTCTGAGCACCTCCGCAAACAGATGCTGCTAACCGCACATGGCTTTTGTCTTCATCAAAGTCTGTTTTTCAGTCTGTGCTCGAAACATGCAGAACAGTTTATGTAGGAAAGAAATGGTAAGAAGAACTCTGGTGGTTCTCACCATCTTCTTCTCTCAACCCTAGGAGGGAGACGGTGAGGCTTCAACCCTGCTTGGCATAGCGGGAGGGAAAGGCCTGCTGCCTGGGCTCCACGTGGGTCTTGATTAGTGGGGAACCAAAGCCCACTCCTCACATGGCCCCAGGCAGGGAAGAGCCATGCTTGGGTATGAAGACAGAGATGCCACCCATTCTGGGTTTGGACAGTGGAAATATCCATGGAGATAACAGTCTGCAGACCAGAGGGCTCTGCCTGAAAATCTCATTCAAGCCATAGTTATTTGGGGCTCACTGTTATTGGCAGCTCTACCTAACCCAAGCTTATTCCCTACTTGCAGGGTGGAATATCAGACTTAGAGGAACCTGGCCTCTTCACCACAGAAAAACCTTCATTCCCCAAAACAGAGGTTTGTTTTATTTTCACAGAGGCCCATTTTATTTTTATTTTTGCAGTGCTGGGGGCGGAACCCAGAGCCTTGCACACACTATGTGGCCTACTTAAAAATCAGATAAAGGCCAGAGAGAGTATCCCAGAAAAACACACGAATGGGAATGTGTCCCACTTGCGTCTCACTGTTCCATATACAAATTTATGAGCTCCCAGACCCCCTAAAGGCGATGCTCACTCCCCATGCTAAACTTGGATAAAAGAGGAATGCAATTTCCAAAACACTCCCAAACACAAGTGGCATCAGGCTCTGTTCTCACACTGAGTCACAGCAGAGCAGAGGACAAGGTCTCTGCTGTACCCATTCCTTAACAAGAGAGCCCCTAAACTTGGGGGTTCACAGCCCACGGTGGGGAGAAGGCAGCTGAGCAGGGCAGTAGGACTCGCTCCATATCAAAATTGCCTGCAGGGCAGAAAGGGAAGCCAAATTTCCCCGTGGAGGAGGCACCATCCTGGTCAGACGGCGGATGGGTAAAATTTTGTCAAGTGGTAGAAAGGGTTTAGGTGGAGAATATTTTCTACAAGGAAACTGTGTCACAAAGATGTGGCCAGCCTGTGGCATACTTGGAGAACGCAGGGTACATGGACCAGGGCTGCCTGGGAAGAGCATAGCAGGTAAAGGGAGGGTTTGGAAATGTGCCACCATGCTGCGCCCCGCTGTGCAGGGCTCTGAATGCCATTCTAAGGGTTTCTGCCTTGATCCCGTAGGCAACGGGGAGCCAGAGGGTGACATGTCCAGATGTGGCAGCCACAAGAATAGGGGATGGAAGGAGGGGAGACAGCGGGCAGGAAGCACCAGGCAGGATCTAGGGGTCAGGTACCAGCTTTCACCTGGCAGGTAGGCCCAGCAGCACCGGGGACACAGACTCCAGCAGCCTCTCCAGAGGCCATGGGTTCCCTCCTGCCTCCGCTGCCTCCTCTGTTATTTCAGGTGGGCTGTGCTTCCTCCCCCACCCTCTAGCCCTCCCCACCCCCTCCTGGCTCCCACTAAAATAGGCTTTTATTCCTGAATCACAGAAGAGCCTCAGATGCAGATCCCTGGGGACCTGACTTCCTCTACTTCACCCTCATTCAACAGCTTGATCCAAGGCACACTTCCTGAGATGGCCTTGCACAACGTCCCAAGGGAGGCACAGTTGAAACAGACCAGCGCCTGCTCACACTGGATTCCTCCATGTACTCAGGGTGAGGAAGGGAAGGAAATAAAGCCCAGACCCCAAGAACTGTCCCCAGAGACAGCCGGTGTGCACATAGGACTGTGGGTGTCTGGGAGAGCCAAGAAGGAAAGAATTCCTTCCTCTGGGTGGGATGAGGGCAGGTCAGATTAAGAAAACCTCAGTGGAGGCGTCCAGAATTTAAATTGAAGATCTGGGATTGCATTTTTCCTTTTATAGCTATGTGGCCACAGGCAAGTTGATCCACCTCTCTGAGCATCTGTATCCTCATTCAGAATAGCACAAATGTACAGACTTCACTCACCCTATTGTGGGGAAGAATTAATGAGAGGCTGTAAAATGCTGAGCCTGGGGATTATAATCAGTGTGGTGGGCAGACTCTAAAATGACCTCCTGGTATTAGGCCTTGACCTGGTGACCTGCTTCTGACCAACAGACTATGGCAAAAATGATTAAAATTCATTCATCTTGCTTGCCTCTACTGCTGTCTGGTTTGCCTGTTCAGGTGGAAACTTGCTGCTAGGTCGTGAGCCATCCTGAGGAGTGTCACAAGGCAAGGGACCAAGAGGCCTCCTTGAGGAACTGCATCTTTCCAATGGCATGTGCGGGCTTCTGGAAGCTGATTCCCGCCCCCTGCCCCTCCACCACTGGAACCTGGGCTAACACCGCAGCCTGTGCACAACCTTGAAGCAGATGACCCAGATGAATCATGCTTTGATTCACAGAAACCGAGACAATATATTTGTTGTTTTAAGCATGAAATTTTGGGACAATTTATCACACACACTAGTTACTTACTACAATCAGGATGATATGGAGACTGTAACAGCTGGCTGTCCAGGTGCTAACCAACCTTTTAGAGCAGATGCTAAGGGGAGTGTGGACCAGCCCCTGCAGGCTCTGGGAGTTCAGGGAGTTCTCATCTAACATTTTCTGTGGGTCTTTTTGTATCTTTTTAAATTTTAGACCAGATACATTTATTCATGAAAAACTATATAATTTTGCCTGTGGTCCCAGCTACTTCGGAGGCTGAGGCAAGAATATTGCTTGAGCCCAAGAGTTAGAGACCCACCTGGGCAACACAGGGAGACCCCTATCTCAAAAATCAATGAAGGAAGAAAGTATGTGTAATTTTATGAATGAAGATAATGAAAAGCATTCATAAATAACAGAAATAACGGTTTGTAGAAATGGCATTTGTCTCAAAGGGGGAAGTGCCCAGGAAGGAACTTTGGGGAGCGCTGTCACTATGGCCTGTGACTTTTTGCCACTAACTACAAAAGCCACATGAAAGTGCTGTGGTTGTGGCCTCTGACCTGTGATACACCAGTGTCACCTGCTCCTACACCTGCACCATTTGCTATAGTCCCAGGTGCTGCCAGATTGTGCAGGCCAGCAGGGAAGGCACTCTAACATGGGACCACAGTCCCCACATGCCTGACACTGAGCCAAACACCATGCACTGCCGCCTTTATCATCACAGGAACTGCGGGAGGCAAAGTGCCACTCTCCTACCCGATGACACAAATCAAGCAAGAAACAGAGAGGTCAGTGACTTGCCAGGGGTCACACACCAGTGGAGAGTTGGACTCTAGCCCGGGCTTCTGGCTCTGAGCTGACATGCTGTGCTGACAGCCTGGCGTATAGAAGGTGCTAGACAAAGCCTTCTAACAAAGCCCTGGTCCTTGCCCACAGACTCAGGGGCAGAGGCTCTCTTAGGCTGAACCTCAAGCAGGACTATCTTCCTCTGTGTCTCTCAACTGAGCTCAGGGGACTTGATTGGCTTCCGCCAACACAGACAGGCCAGGACGCTGCTCCTAGAAGCCCTGGGTTGCACAGAATGGTGGTGCCCAGCCCCTCTACAGGAGGGAACCTTGGCAGGTGCTAGACTCATCCTCACCCAGCCTGGCATGGCAGGGTGGAGCTCAGAATGTCCCCAGCCCCATCAGGCACCAGTGGGAGGGAGAAGAACAGCAATGGCTTCTCCCCAGACCTGCCTAGGTTCCTGCAGGTCACACAGTGGAATTTTGGTACACACACAGCTCAGCAAAAGAGGCCAGGCCAGAGAGTCTCTGGGTCCAGGGTCATGAAGCAGTGGATGACACACCTACAGCCTCCTGGGGAGTGTGAATCAGACCCTTGTGGATACTGGCTGGGGGTCTGCAGTAGGAGAGAAGGAGCTGTGGTTCCTGGAGATGTCAGCACAGGAGGAGGACCGGGAGGAAGTACCCCTCCAGTTACTCTCCCATTTTACAGATGAGGCAACTGAGACTAGAGGGAAGATGTGGTTTACCAAAGGACAGAGTTCACTTCGGTGTGGCTGAGGCTGGATCCCCTGTCTCCTGACACCCCTGGATGGCCCTTGACTCACCTGGGGTGGAAGCCATTCTGGTTGTGCTCTGGGAGGCTCAAAAACCCTCCCCTGGTGTCTCTGGGGATTTCCCCAAAGCAACAGATGCCCGAGTCGAAGGCTCTGGCTCCTTCCCCTCCACCAGACCATTGCCTCCCACTGGACATTTGGTTGGAAAAAATGGTTCCTCTGCTGTGACCAGAGAAGCTCTGGGGTTCATCGTGCCCCTTCCCCCCTCGGCTGCCATGTCTCTTCCATCCTTCACTCCTCCCAGCGTCAACCCCGCTGGCCTGGCTTCCAGCTGAGCTGGGTCCTACCCGGCCCGGGTCTCTGCTGGATCCCTGGGGACTCACCTGGCACGTCCAGGGATGGGTTGACAATCATGAAGGCATCTGACAGGCCTGCTTTGACGGGGTGCTGGGAGGAGCTGATCTCCAGGACGGACATGGGGATCTGTAGTGGGGAGAAGAGGCTCCATCTACCCCCCAAGCTCCCTGGGGCCAGCCCTGACTTTCCCACTGAGCTTCAGAGTCTTCTGCCTGCCCAGCATCACCTCTTGGAGGACCCGAAGGCACCTCAAACCCAAACTCCCATCCAAACTCCAGGTCTTCCCCACGTCACCTCCAGCCTGTCTCTCCTTCAGTGAACAGCACCTCTGTGCAGCTGGAGAGCCAGGGGCCCTCCTGTCCCCGCTTGCTTTTCTTTCCTCACTCATATAATCCAGCTCCCAATTCTGTTTTTTCTTTTCTTTTCCTTCTTTCTTTCTTTCCTTCCTTCCTTCCTTCCTTCTTTCTTTCTTTCTGTACATATAATCCAGCTCCCAATTCTGTTTTTTCTTTCCCTCCTTCCCTTCCTTCCTTCCTTCCTTCCTTCCTTCCTTCCTTCCTTCCTTCCTTCCTTCCTTCCTTCCTTTCTTCCTTCCTTCCTTTCTTTCTTTCCCAGGGATTGAATTCATGAGGACCCCACCACTGAGCCACATGCCCAGCCCTATTTTGCATTTTATTAGAGACAGGGTCTCACTGAGTTGCTTAGCAGTCCACTTTTGCTGAGACTGGCTTTGAACTTGCAATCCTCCTGCCTCAGCCTCCCAAGCCGCTGAGATTACAGGCACACGCCACTGCGCCCAGCCCAAAATGGCCATTTTCAAAGGCGCATCTCGTTGCTCCCCTGCCTCGTCCTGCCCCGCTCTTGCCTCTCCGACCACACTGTCTTCCTCCAGAGCTTGGTGCCAGCCCTGATCTCTCCTGCCATGGGACCGAAACACATGCCCGTCTCTCCCCTGAACACGTTCCACTCTGCTCTTTAACTCCCATTCATCCCGCAGACCCCGTCTCTCTTCCTTGGGGAAGCCTCCTTTGGCCTCTGACAAGGTGAAGAGCCCCCCTGACAGGCTCTGCTGGCACCAGGTGCCTCTACTCAGGAGCACTTGTCACAGTAGTGATTCTGCCTTTGTCCCTGCCATTATTGTCTATCTCTCAAACACAGCCACCACTGCACAAGGACAGGGTGGGGCCTGCAGCAGGCTTGTTAGCATCCACATGCCTGGCGTGTTGCGGACTCCCTACAAACACCTGCTGGGGGGAGGAAGGCTGGGATCCAGTCTCTGTGGCGGGGCCCACTCACCTCTTTGTAGCCGAAGACAATGCGGCCATCACGGTGCAGAGCGGCCTGGAAGGTGAAGCTGCCCCGGTCCTCTCGGCCTTGGAGGTAGACGTGGTCCCACTGAACAACAAAGACTGTCCCTGAGGAGAAGAACAGAGACCTGGCTGGACAGCCAGAGCGGAACTGGCCAGAGGTTTGCTCCGTTCAGGATGACGGGCTTCACAGCAAACTTGAGAAGGCGGAGAGCTGGGCAGCCCCCAGCCATCAGCCCGGCTTCCAGGCTGTGGAGCCAGAGGTCCTGCTTCAGCCCCCAGATCTCTAACCCCAGGCGGGGCCCCTCCTTCCTGTCAGACTGACCCCTTGAGATGAAAAGGACAGGAGATGTCTGTTCTCCTGGGTGAGAGTGAGAACCATCCAGGCCCCTGACATCTGTTTCACCTCTATTAAGAGCAGACACATAGATTTTGTCATCTCACCAGACTCTGCAAGTAGCTGCATTCTGTTCCTGTCTTTCATTTGAGGAACTAGCACAGAAAGGTGGGGTGGCTGTCTGGCTGTGTGATAGTGGGCAAGTCCCTTGCCCTCTCTAAGCCTGGGGCTCCTCTAAAGGGGGTCGGTCCAAGAGATCCCTGGGGCTTCATGTCTTACACTCTGAGATCTGCCCTCACCATTGTCAAAGTAAGACACTGTGGAATTGTCGGAGTAGCCCGGGTTGAAGTTGGCCATCAGGGGGGCCACGTACTGGGTAGCTGTGAGCATCCGGTGGATCACGTCGCCCATGAAGATGAAGCCTGGGGGGGGAGAGTCACAGAAGGGTTGCCGGAGGTGGCCTCCAGGGGCTGCTCCTGGGGGTCTTCTCCCCAAGGCTGGAGGAGAGCCTCAGACCCCTACATCCCATCCGGAGCTGATGGCTCTGGGTCTGGTGTGTGTGGAGCAAAAGGCCCCCAGTCCTAAGAAGGTTCTCGCTGTGTCTCCAGCTGGACACATAGCATGGGAACCGGAGATGACTCCCACCTCCCTGGATCCCTAGGGAAGTGGCACCCGGAATTGAAGTGCGTGGGAATCAGATGGGCTCCTGCAAGCAACACGGAGCCTGGTCCCAGGAACCCAGGCTTTCAGTGTGGTCTCCTCTTCCTCTCTCTCAGATTCAGAGACCCAGGGACCACAGGGACCTAGCAGGACACACACACGCGCACACACACACACACACACACGCACGCGCGCAGCATGAGGGGGATGCTCTGACAGTCCTGATCTCCCTCCTAAGATGGGGCACCCAAGACAGCAAACATGCATCCTCTCCAGTCCGTCTGTCTATTCAACCCCCTCTCCACCGATACCCCTGCCTTCAGCCTAAGATGTCCAGACCTCCCCAGGGCCCTGCTGGCTCGCCTTACCTCCAGTTGCTATAGTGATCTGCCGCAGAGGATGCCCATAGAAAGGGAAATCGAAGGACAACACCACTCTCTGCAGGGGACGGGAGAGAGTCAGCATGAGCCAAGCCACAGGCCAAGGGTTGGGCACCCACACTTCCCCATGCCTGTCTGGACAGAGTGGGGGGCAGGCATGGCCAGAGCAGGCCCCTAGGACTGAAGGCAGGCACCCCCACTCTGGGTGAGCTCATGGGACCCACTAAGAAGCCCCCCCCAGATCATAGACCTCAGGCCCCTGCCACGCCTGCTCCCAGGTCCCCACAGTGCAGCCTTCCACCCAGACACACACACGCCGGGCACCCTGGTCACTCACTGAGGCCTGCCGGTGGGTATTGGAAAGGATCCTGTGGACCTTCACTTGGTTCTGGTTGGCCTCACCCACATTCACCCACAGTTCCCGACTGCGGGGCTCACTGGGGCCGTAGACACGGGATATATAGTAGCTGTGGTTGTCCTCCTGCAGGTGCCCAAGACAAAGCCACAGGAGGCGTGGGGAGTCAGGCAGGCCAGGAAACGCCCCCTGCTCCTCCCCACTCAGTCTGCTGGATACAAGAAGTCACCCCGTCCCAGGGCACTGGACCTGTGGCCCAGAGGGCTATTTTAGAGCCCTGGAGCCCCTCGGCCCTAGACAGCTCACTACCTGGCCCCGACCCCTTCCCAGCACGCTTGCTGCCCCCGTGCCCAGCCCTGCCATTGCAGACAAACCCGAGGTTCATCCTGAACCCCCTCCACGCCCCCTACCCTGTGCCTTCAGAGTACAACCAAGGCCTAGTTCAGCTTGAGGGAAATGAGAGAGAAACAGAACAGCCCTAAGAAGAGCCTTATCTTCAGAGAACTCCCAGACAGTGGGGAGCACATAGTCCCTGCCCTTGGGGAGCAGCCAATTTGAGGGAAAAGAAAACACTAATCTCTGAAGGTGCCAGTCTAGAGGAAGCTGACCCTGATCTTGGGGAGTTCTAGTCTGATGGTGGAGGTGGGACACACATAAACAGAACCCAGACACGGGCCCTCAAGCAGAGTGATGCAGAGCCCATGCCAGGGTCACCAGAGGGGTTTTGTTTTTCATTTGTACCAGGGATTGAACCAGAGCCCTTAACCACTGGGCCACACCCGCAGTCCTTTTTGTATTTTATTTGGAGACAGGTGCCATGTTTCATGACTTAAACACTCAGGGTCACTCAGGTGAACTGGGCTGCATGAAATAATCACCAGAGATACCTTTTTCTTTGGGTCCTGGGACGGTCCACCAAGAAACAGAGAGAAAGAGCACGTGCTGAAGACTTTTGTTGGGGAGAAGCCATTCAAATGAGGCAAGGGGTCAGGTTTCGGAGGTTAAGTCTAGCTTCATGATGCCTGCTGTCAGCAGACTGACTGACATCTAGGAAGGTCACGCCCAAAGGCAGAGCAAGAGAAGGGAACACACAAAGGGAGTTTCCATGGAACATTCTATCCCAAACAGGACAAAGCGGTAAGATTACAAAAGAATAGGTGAGTGTAGCACAACCCCAGGGGTGTGCCTACTCAGAAGACTGCCCTTGCTATCCGAGCAGGGGAAAAGACCGAGTCCCGGCCAGACAACAGTGATCTTTCAGACCCCCGCAGTGCATCAGAACTGGAAGGCATGGTAAAGCACTGTGGCTCCCCACTGACAGGGTCTCCCTGAGTTACTTAGGGCTTCACTAAGCTGTCAAGTTTGGCTTTGAACTTGAGATCCTCCTGCCTCAGCCTCTAGAGCCACTGGGATGACAGCGTGGCCACTGTGCCCAGCACCAGAGGGTTGTTAATGAGGAGAGAAGCAGCACAGAATCCTTTGAGTCATAATTTTGAGTCTCTCTTGTGTGCCTGAGGGGAATCAAATATGGAAGGAGGCAGACTGAAGTGGGGTGGGTCCTCTCTGTAGTCTCTCCCCCAGGGGAGCATTTGGGGCCAGGGTTTACAGGAGGCTGGAGAAGAGTGGAAGATCCAGGGAGCAGAGCAACATCATCACTTCCTGGAGCTGGCCCAGGAGCACCTACATAGGAGGCCAGGTGGCCAGGAGGCACGGCGGGCAGGTTCCATTGGCAGCCACCGCAGAGATGCCCTGGGCACCATGGGTCATTAATCAGGCTGCCCAGCCGCAGTGGCTGCAGACACAGCAGAGCAAACAACGACATCCCTGCCAAGCTGCCAGCTGCCCAGCCAGCTCTTGCCCCAGGTCCAGCAGGAACCAGGGACTCCTGCATTCTTCACCCGCTGGGAGGCAGACTCTGCTCTTCTGCCAAGTGTCACACTTGGTCACCAGGGGTCGGGCAGGCTGGGGAAAATGAGTAAAGAGACGTGGGGTGCAGTGGGGTGTTCCCACCGCCTCTGTGCCACTCCCCTCCTGCCTCTAGATGGTCCACCCCTTGGCCAACCCGGGAACGGAGTCAAGCTTATCTCAAATGCTCTAGAAGTCACATCACTTTGCCCACAGCTATCGGGGCTCCCCAGAGATACTGGATTTGGGGTAAAATGCGAACCTCTGAGCCTGGCATGTGAAGTGTCAGCCTGAGCCAACCCCCCTTCTCTCTGGCTTCATTTCTCTCATGCCCCCAGGCACCCCTGGACACCCACCAACCAGACTGAACTCCTCTGACAGTCTCAGGCCACCTCACAGGAAGAATCACAGCCCCTGTATTCTCCTCACGGCGGATTCCTGTTTCTTTAGTGCTCAGCTTAAACATCACTTCTTATTGACCTTCTGACCTTATCTGCCCAGGGATGACCTCCAACCCTTGCAAATCATCATCCAACATTTTTGGTGATCAGGGGTGAATCGTGTCTGCTATTTTCAATTGTCACATGGGCCCAGACTTATTGGGTTAATGGACTCTACCCATGAAGCCCCTAAGGAAGCCCTCCTGGTGCCACCACCCCAGGGTGAGGGCAAGTGCCCGTGCCAGAATGTTGCTTCCTATTGCTGCCACAGCTGCCAACCCTGAGGTTCCAGGAGGGTGCCCAGAGGAAGATGCACTGCTCTCCAGCTCTGCCCACTGCACCAAAGCCATCTTATGCCAGGGATCACAGCCTCCCTGAAGAAACAGCAACTTCTGCCCCCGCATAGCCCTCTTCTTCCCTCTAGGGCTCAATCTCTCCCATCCCCACCAATCTCTGGTGGGCAGCCACACCTCAACCAAAAGCAAAGGAAGGGCTGGGGTTGTGGCTCAGAGATAGAGCGCTTGCCTGGCATACGTGAGGTACTGGGCTCGATCCTCAGCATCACATAAAAATAAAATAAAGGTATTAAAAAATCTTACAATACTTAGGAAAAAAAAAAGAAACAAAACAAAAGATACCAAAAATCACCTGCCAAGTCTATGTTCTCCAACCTATGCAAAGACAGGCGTACCAAAGTGGATCTGCTGATGCCCAACCTGCCTCCTGAGATTTGCAGCTGAGTAGTTTTTTATTATATTTGTCCTCAAAGCAAAAAATTTACAGGGGCCCTGGACAACACTATGCATCTGACAGTCTGCAAACCCCCAACTCTGAAGCCAGTTTATGTTCAGCTGGGACAACCTGTCATAGCTGTGGCTACAGCTCACCTCCTGCCCTAGCCTCCAGTTCAAATAAAAACGTAACTCATTGGGCAGTAACTTAAAAAACTTATGTAGCTCAGTGATTGAGCACTTGCCTAGCATGTGTTAGGCCCAGTACCACACACACACAAAAAGCAGTATATTACGGGGCACCAGTTAGCCTACAATTTTAAAGAAACCACTTAAATGTCTGTTTCTGATGGGTATGGTGGCTCATGCCTGTAATCTAGTGATTCAGGAGGCTGAGGCAGGAGGATTGCGAGTTCAAGGCCAGCCTTAGCAACTTAGGAGGCCCTAAGCAACTTAGTGAAACCCTATCTCAAAATAAAAAAAGTAAAAAGGGCCAACGATGTGGCTCAGTGGTAAAGTGCCAAAGTGCCCTTGGGTTCAATCCCTGGTACTAAACAAAGCAAAGCAAAACAAAACAAAAACATAATTGACAGAAGAAAAACCAATGAGTGAGCTGAGTGTTAGTGAACACTTGTAATCCCAGTGACTTGGGAGGCTGAGGCAAGGCAGAGTACAAGTTAAAGTCCAAATTCAGTAATTTAACAAGACCCTGTCTCAAAATAAAAAAATAAAAAGAATTGGGGACGTGGTTCAGTGGTAAAGCACCCTTGGGTTCAATTACCCTTCCCCCCCAAAAAAATGTCTTTTTCTGCCTTAATTATGAGACCCTGACACACTGGGAGGGTTATCACCTCTGTGCCCATGGCTCAAAGTTCTCAGATACTCGGTGCTCAAGAAGTATGTACCCCATGAACTGAGACCTTGTGCCAGAAGCCCATGCTCTTCTTTTTGCCTTCTTTTGAGAGAAGAAGAAGAGACTGGGGCCAGGGAGGGACCAATGTTCAGCAACTGGGTAAAGTTTGCCTCCCTAAATCCTGGGCTACTTTTCTATGATGCATGGGTGAAGGGGAAACCAGTGGCTCAATTTAGTGAAGCCAGCATCTAGGTAGCACTTGAATCCTTGCACGCCATGGGGTATTTAAATTGTGTTCCCCAAAAAGATATATCCAAGTCCTAAGCCCCTCATCTGACTATGGTCATTTTTAGAAATAGAGTAAAGATCAAGTAACAATGCAGTCACACTAAGTTCAGGTGGGATCTCAATTCAACAAGTGATGTCTTTATAAAAAAAAAATGAAAATTAGAAAAAGAGGGTGATTTGGACATAGTTACAGAGACACAGGGAAGAAGGCCACGTGATGGCAGATCATAAACCAAGGAATGCTGAGGATTGCCAGGAGCCACCAGGAGCCAGAAAGAGACAAGGAAAGGGTTTCCTTCAGGGGCAGCATGGTTTTGCTCACATCTTGATTTCTGGCTTCCACTCTCCAGAATAAATTTCTATAGTTTAAGCCACCAAATTCGGGGTAACCTGTCATGGCAGCCCCACAGAACTAATGCACGTGCCCAGTTGTGTGTGCCCCTGCGGCTCAGTCCTGCAGCCTTTCCTCACTGCACATCACTCCCCTGCTTAGAACATTCTGTGGCTCCCAAGCTGCACTCAGATCTAAGGTCCTGCCCTTTACCACAGCCTACGTGTCCCTGTGGGGCACTCTGGCCACCGTCTATCCAACATCCATTCCCTTTTCTTCTCTACGAACAGAAAATTGATTTTTGTAGCAAGCAGCCATGTAACCAGCAAAAAAAAAAAAAAAAAAAAAAGCGTCCTTTGAAGACATGCTAGAAGGATGCTTAAGTCCCTTAAATTCGCCTGTTACATACAGACCAATCCTTCCTGATGCCTGGTGGTCTGGCCCCTGCCCAGCACCTCCTGGCTCCCTGCTCTCCATACTCCAGGCCTCAGTTCCAGAAATCACCAAGCCCTTGTCTTTCCCAAGGCCTTCGTGCCTCCTGTCCTTGAAACCTCTGCCCCAACCCCATTTAGTAGCTG